GCAAATCAAAATATCCTTGCAAAATTTAATGGTCTCAATAGCCTGTTGTCAGTCAGATCTCAAAATATCCTTTCGCCATAATTTCACTTCTTTAGAGGCGATATTGAGGAACGGCCATTGTGGTCTGGTAGCACTGAAAGAGCTCCGCCAATTACCGTGCATTGCACTAAGCTCTCTCCAATCGAATTCAGAATACACTCGTCAATGAGGGTGGCAGGCCGACCAGATTTGTGGTTTTTTCTCAAGTATCTGGAACTCGGCAACCAAATAATTGGCATATTGTGAAAGATAGTTCGGAGGTCCATCACAACACGTAGAACTCCCACTGCTTCGCTTCAATCGACGCATTTTGTGGGCTTATAAAGGCAGGAGCAGTCGAACATACCTTCAGTGAAAGGCGATTTTTAGCTTCAAACGCTGCGAAATGCTACGACAGAAATGCTGTGGAGAGAGCATTAACCACCGCTCACATGCGTTTAACAGTGAATGTTTCAAAACGATCCCAAAAGATTTTGCAAGATGAACAAGAAAATGCGCAAGAACTTTTCCGACAACCTATAATTGCTACAAGTTTTAGTTTTTCAGATTATAAGGTAAGGAAAATTGAGAGATCGAAAAAATTGGTGGTTTCTGAAAGTAGAAATCTTTACGATTAAAATGATGTATTGGTTTACGCAAAAATTTGGAAATTCCTTCTATTTAATGAATAAAACTTCATGTTGCCTCGATTCCCTCCTCTGAGCGAGACAGAGCGCGCGGATTGACCACGGTTTACCACTTCTCCATGTTGGTGACCAGGGTGAATAACGGTCGAGGATTTCCTCGACCATAGCTCTCTACCATGCGAGAGTAGTGCCGAGAGTGAACATCCGCGCGGAGAGCACAGACGGCACGCCCATGGCGAGTGTGAATGTCCGAGAGATCGTGTCTGATCGGGCAGAGAATCCTCGACGTGCCGTTGAGGAATCCTCAAGCGATATTCACCCTGTTGGTGACTGCTCGCACATCAATGATGAGCATTAAATTATGTGAAAGACATAATAGTTAATACGGGGGGTCGTACCGATACCCCCGAAAAGGAAGGGGGTCGTAAAAATTTTAGAATTTGCGCAACGCAGGGACCCTGCTCACGGCCTTTGACAGAGAAGGCGTTTTGTGGGAAAACGCCTGCTCGGGTATACGCCGTGCACCTGTCTGTGGGCAGAATTCGCACTCGCATTTGAAAGTCTCCATTTTCCTGATGTTAGTATCGTGATTGAGTTGCATTGTACTGTTATATGGTACTCTTGTTTCACGAACTGCTCTACACTTTGTTCTCCTTGGGATTTCAGGAATGTTCGATCATCGAAGACAGACCATGTTTTTGCACTACGCTGTAACAAAGTTTTTGGCTATTAATCTTGATCTATGCTGTCGAGCAAAAGCGCCGTCCGTGTATTAAGGATAATAATGGCTGATAGTGAGACTTATAATGCTCTGCATGCTCTAATGCTCCCATGGAGCTCTTGTCTGTGTGACTCTCCGACAGCTGCACGGTGCAGAGCTCCTGGAGAACATTAGAGCGTGAAAGTGCACTCCCGGACACTGCACTTTTCAAGCCGTCTTGCAGGATACGACCCCCTCCCTTTTCGGTCGGCTGAATACGACCCCCTCGTTGTTCTTTGCGCAACGGGCGGTTGGCCCTGGTTGTGACAGTGGAGATGTGAGGTGTGAATCGTTCGCATGGCTTCTGCTTGGAGTTTGTCATCAATGTCACATTATAGGTTAGTGACTAAGAAATGTGTACCCTTCCCTGTTGAAGACAAGCCCGGGATTAGACCGTCTAGTAGGAAGGATGCCGTGAGGCTAGTACCTCAAGCTTCGTTGCACAAATTGCGCGACTAGGGCGCTGATCCTTACGGGCCTGCAACCATCGACTCCCGTCACAATGCTTCCCAGTCAAGATTGATGGGGAGATCACCATGCTCTCTGCAGTCTCGCGTGTTTTGTCTCACCTTGTCTCGCCCTCGTACCACATCCGACCATGCTGGAGGTTAAGGTCCTTAATTTTAGCGTTTCAATGATTTTCTTTCTCTTCTTTCCACTTTCAGTCCATTCTTAGCTCAGCCATCATTGCGAAGCGCTCTTACTCACTAGTTTTATCCCAGGGCTTGCCTTCCAGCGCCGCGATATCAAGGAGCCGCCCTGGCATTGAAAATTGGTTCCGAGGCTCTTCTTGATTGATCCTATTCCAAACTCAAGGAACCTGTTTTTCTCTCATGCAGTTTGAGAATGGCGTTTATTCGCACCAACCTTTTTGACAATGCCCAACGATGCCCAACATGTTCTTCATCGGGTTCGTATGACCGGATATGTATGAGGATAGACCAGAAAGGAGAAGGCGCTTATGGCTTGGGGTTTTTGACGAGGTCTAAATTGAACTATACTTAATTTTTTCCGACTCAGAAGGTGTCGAAAACGTCCATTAGCTCCATGTTCGATAGATTCTTGTGAGCCATCAAAAGGCGTATTGTAGTGCGTTGTATTGTGAGATTCAGGATGGTTTAGACAGGAAAAATATTATTTAGTGGTATATAGTACAGTATTGGTTTGTCTACATGGCAAACAATCGCACAAAGGGGCAATGTATCGGGCAACCTAGTACTACCTTCTTTGAACTTCTGCCTAGAGAGCCCTCCGCTAGACAGAAACCTTTTTTCGCAGATCTCAGAATGCAAGAAATACGCCTGTAACTGTTTTTATGAGCAGGACGTATTTGACCGCCATGATCATCACCGATGAGGAATACTACGAGGACAGAATCAACTATTTACTGTCAAACTCGGACGAATTCCTCGCGTTCGGTCGCCCTATTTCATCAAAGATCGTTCATATTGGTGGAATTACACTGCTAGAAGCCGCTCCATTATCAATGGTAACATACAACAATCAATTAACTTCAATCCGTCATGACACTTTTGAGCATTCTTTGGATTATTCTAGGAATTGCGGCACATTCTGGAGCAAGCCAAAATGGGAGTGGTGTATATTTCCTTTGGCTCTAATGCGCCAACCAAGAAAGTGAGAACGGAAGGCTTTGTTGCAATTGAAGTAAGATCTTGAACTAAGGGCGCTTGAGTAGATCGCATTCAGATGTCCAAGCACTTCCGCGAAGCAATAGTTAAAGCGGCGGAAATTTTCAAATATTATGAGTTTATATGGGAAAGTCGACGAAGGCGACGCGATACAAAGCATTCCAAATTTGCACACATTCAGCTGGGTTACTCAAGCAGCACTTATAGGTAAGCGCTTGATCTTTATGGTGGAAGTTGGCTATGATAGGAGCACACGGGGCTATGGGGTCAATCTCTGACGGCCAAATCCTACTATCTGATTTATATCATCATCATCATACAACCATCAATGAAACTCTTTATCGTTGCCTCGGCCACCAGCTCTACGTTCGGTGAAAAGAGTTATTTCCATAGCACGGGGCCAACCTGTGACATGGACAGTACATAGGTGAGTAGCGTCTGCTGACTTGTAATCAGTTGTAGGTCGACTCCTATTTACCTAGCCTACTCCTCATAACTCACGAAAACACTACAAGCAGGTTCTTTTTGTGTGCGCATGTTTTTTCTAGTCTGTGTTTGCTATAAAAACAAAATTTTACGACCGCTCTTATAGATGTTCTTTCTCCATTCTCACATTTCCAACCATGAGTTCGAATACCCTTACCAACAGCGAAAATCGCTTAAAAAACCGAGTTCTAGTTTTACACCACGGAATCTGTAGCTATGGCTTTTCGACCCTTCCATGATCATTACGCTGACAATTTGAATTTTCGGAACAGTCAATCACAGCGATATTCTGATATATTCACGACAAATCGCGGAAAATGTTGTAATGTGAAAGTTAAAATTGAGTTGTTATCCAAGCTAACAGAACGGAATCAAATGTCAAAATCATGCATGCCAGGACCGATTTTGAAGAAACTTTTCGACGAAATCTGGTTCCTATATTTATTATTTTGTGTTTTGTTGTTTTTAAGCTTCCCAAAATGCAGTAGCTTCCCAAGAGGGTGAAATATAGTACCCAACCAATTTTCTTCCTTAGTCTCATGGCCGCCTACACTGTTTTAGCTCATCCAAAACTGCAATGTTTTGTGTCACATGCTGGAGTGAATAGTGTTATGGAGGTGACGAGAAATGGGAAGCCGTCGATTCTTGGTGCCAATCTTCGCTGATCAAATACGGTTTACTATAGTCTATTATATTAATCCAAGAAATCTGTGCAAAGAAAGCTATACACTTATTACAGTTCCAGTTCTTTGCAGGAATGCGCTATTCGTTGAAGCGAAGAACACAACGATTGTAATCACAAAGGAAGAATTCAACAGCGATACATTCGCAGCTGCTCTTCAGAATGTGTTGAATGATAAAAGGTGGGAGGAGCGAGAAAAATGCACTCTAAATCCGACGAATTAGATGCCATTTCACGAAATTATATCCGCCAAAAACTAGAATACTCCTAAGATGCATGAGAAAGCTTGGGACTTGTCGCGATTGGAGCAAACAAAGTGTTGCTCGAGGTTATTCCCATGCTCATGAAAGATTACTGCTGCAGATCTGCTTAGTATGCATGTGTCAAGCAAAGCGTCTATTCATGTCAATTGGAGGGAATCCCAAGGCCTCAACCGCGTGCAGTCTAGGAATCGGTCATGAATTTTGAATTACGAATGTGGTTGGATCATCCCTCGACACTATATCATACAGCCTGTTCATACAGTTGCTAACAGATGCGATTTTCCTCTCCCTTCGCCTTTTCATATGAAAGGGCCTCGCAAGCACGGCGTGCTGTGAAGAATGGTGGATGTGCTCCAAAGTTGGACTTCCCTATAAATTAGGTCGGTCAACAGTGTTCGCCATTTTGGGCGCTTTATTCGAAACAACATAACAATGATGAGACACAGCATTTGTCATGAACTATATACCATCGTGTGTACTGTAGCATTACCAGCATTGTTCACGCGAAAGAAGTCCTTCTGATGGAAATATGAATTGTAATACTCGATAACTGTCGGACTGCTAATCCAGGATCCCTTTGTTCTCGACGCGATCTTTCTGCAAGATTAACGGAGAGCGAAGAAGTGGCACGTCATTGAAAGCAAGGGTCAGGATCAGTACGTTGCACTAGCAATTCCACCTGAATTACGGAAGTGTAAATGAACTAGAAGAGGAAAAAAGAAATGTTCCAGAGGCGTAAAAAATAGTATAAAGCAGACAGTGAAGTAAGAGAAGATGTGAGTTGCGGAAAGGGAAAACAACTTTGGCTTGAGAGAGTACAGCTGGTCAACAATACGCCACTGAGAAGAGATGGAACGATAATAACCCGTTTCTAAAGCATATTACATATTATATTTTAAATATCAAAAATATTAATTATTTTGCCATGTGTCGGCATTCAGGTTGAATCCCATTGTGTGGGCTCACACAATGGGATTCAACCTGATCTGTTTCCTTGACGGCGCATGACTCGTTCAGTTTCTCGTGCATGCTGCTCAAATCTTTTCGAATCCTCTCTCGCCGACTTATCTGATTCTTGGTTGTGTAATGGAGTAGTTATCCTTGCTTCCGATTCCGTATCCGAGGCAGGTCATTCCCGTCCGTATTTGACGACCCTTTCATTAGCAACCCTTCATCATTGGGTAAAATGGTCTCCAGAACACTTTTTCTATCAAATTCTCGCCATGGCGGTTTGGCGATGCGATATAACTACAGGTTCAATCTCTAATCTGAAATATTGTTGTAGAGGTAGCTGAATCTGGAAGGGAACACGTATTCAGAAGATAGAAGGTTAGGAACACTAGAGCTTATCAGATATAGTAGAATTTTTGAAAGTTCACATCTCATTGTGTCTGAGCACTGTAAAAAGCTAAGGCCTTCAGCTATACTACAAAATTTCAATTACTATGCTAATGAGCTGAACAATTTCAAATTTATATAAAATATCTTATATTGAACATTCATGTGGACCATCCAGAGATGTTATAAAGTCTACAAATAATTGCTGAAACCTCGAAAATATTTTGATGCGCAATTAAAAAAACCTAGGGTGGTGGTTCAGTGGGTGCGGTTGTTGCCAAATGTTCAATGTGGGACTCTAGCTTCACCGCACCAGAAACAGTTTTCCCCATGAAGAGCGATGAAGCGTCGACTTGCATTCCACAATGCGCACTGTCAAAGTCGAGCTGGCGGCTTGGGAGAGTCTGAGGGTCAACTTTTTTTGCTACTTTTCATTGCGTGTAAGCAGCTTGGTCCAGTGCCCCTAGAGAGTCCACTTAATACGAAGACTCTTTGCTGGATGCATCATTTTCAGGTTTTGTATCTATAGGTCCACACTAGTCAAGCCATTTCAGAGTGCGCTTTTTCTAGAGGCATTCTGAAAACAATCGTCATGTTCGCGTTCAATGAGTCCTTCAAATGTAGTAAAGGGCCCACAGTGAAAATCATCATTCCTTGTGATCAAAATCGGCCGAGAAGGACGACAGGTCCAGGAAATCCTCTAAACTTTTGTGAGTGGAGGAATTAGAGATTCTTCTCTGCGAAAATAACCAGCGAGTACTGCGTCCTCTCATTGAATTCATTGTATCATTCTCTTCGAACTATTTTAAAGTTTCCATTTCACGGAGAAAAATGAGCCGGAATCCTGTAGTATCCAAATATAGCTCTATTTAACAGATGCGAAGAGCGTGCCCAGTTCATCCCGCACTGTCTATAGCATTCTTAATGGCAAGATTCGGGATAAAATAAGTTATGACGATAGAGGTGGGAGGTGGTCTGGAAAAGAGAAGGAAAGCAAACGAAACCACCGATTACGCCCCGCACAGAGACCTCCCCTATTTCAGCCGCATTCCACCTTGGGATAGAGAAGGGCGCGTTGGACGAGTTTCACGAACCTCTAGTTGCTCCAGTGTCCAATGATATTGGGTCGCACTGGACCGCCGCCTAGAATGCGCTCGCGCTTTCTGTGCGTCTCCCGCACCATGTTTTTGAGACTACACCTGCGCACAGCTTTTCTCACGGCCAAGCTGATTCCGTCGTTCACGAAAGGTAGGCAGAAGGCTACCTTTTCCTCATCCTCGTTCGTCGGACGATGTGGTCTTCTTGTGGGTGGTCCTGGCAAAGATTTTCCTCTTTGGGGGTACCCGTTGTTAGCCGCTATTTTCTCAGCCAGCTCCAATGACTCCGTTCTTTCCTGGTCACCCGATGAGACCATTGCTGCCGTCCTGAACATGTTGTTAGTGATAGAGCCTTTGGTCTTGCTGGGATGTGCCGACCGGAAATGGACCAAGATGTTTTTGTTGCTGGGTTTCGGTACCATTTGGTACGGTAGAACCCGCGCCTGAGCTGGACTTGCACGTTTAGGAAGGGGAGCCAGCTATCTTTAGGCTTTTCCCTTGTGAATTTGATATTGGCAGCTTGGCTGTTGAGGAGGTTGAAACAAGTGTCCATTTCCCTTAAGACGAGCAGACGACGAAACAGTCGTCAATGTACCTACAGTAGAGGACAGGTTAGCGGTCCAGTAACGGCTTTTCGATACGAGACATAAGCAATTGCTAATACTGGTGCCAACCGCTGACCCATGGCCAACCCTCTGATCTGCTTGTAGTATTGCCCAGACCACCTGAAGATGGAGCAGTCGAGACACTCGCTGACAAGTGTCATTACGTGGGTGGTCGAGAGGCCGTACATGTTTATGGATGGCCTCATGTTCGCTCAGCAGCTCAAAGGTGGCCTGCATGGCATCCTTGTTGGAGACGTTGGTGTAAGGGAGGTGACGTCAAAGGATTCCATGACGTGGTTCCGTCTGAACCTGGCCTCACGCAATCGGTCAAGGAACTTGGTGGTATTAGTGAGGTGGGCCGGGATAAACGGTAGCAGTTGCACCAGTACGAGGTTTAGCAGCCACGATATTCTATCGGTGGGTCCTCCGATACTGCTTATTATAGGGCGAACCTGGAAGTTCGAGGGATCGCTTGAAGACAGGGTGGTCAGGGTGGTCTGCGGGAGCTTGTGTGTTTTTAGAAGGACATAGAGGACCGGACAAGTTGGGAGGTCGCATTTTAGACGTGTTCCCACTGATTTTGGCAGTTGTGCGGCCCGTACCACGTCCATCCAAGCCCTGTTCAGCTTCCGATATTGCTTCTTGAATTCGTCCTCCGATGAAGGTCGATAAAGACTCTCATCCTGCAGGTGTGATTTTGTTATAGCAATGTCGAGGTCTTGCGGCAGTACCACAAATTCGCCCCTTTGTCGCTGACGGACACTTTGATGTGATTGGAGCGTGAGGTCCCTGAGCTCCTTTACTTTTTTCCTTTTGCGTTTTTTTGAAGGACTTTTATGCTTTTTCGTCACTGCCGGACCACGGAGCACCATCATAGCACAATGAGCCCTTCTTGAACTTTTCGTAACCGCTGCCTTCAACTCACCCACACTCAACTTTGCCCTTTCTAACTAGCACCTAATTTTTACAGTTCATTTTTCAATAAATGGCACTCTGCACTTTTCGGTGGTTTTGTCGGTTCATTTATAGAAGCCGCGAGGTTTCGGGCTTCCAGTGACCACATCCTTTTCATTTTTTTATGCACTTGCTATTTTTTATAGCCTTTATTTATTTATTTATTTATTTATTTATTATTTATTTATTACTATGCACTCGTAGGTGCGCTACAATAATTAGTCAGAAACCAAATCGTTATAAAATGAGAGTCATCGACTTAAAGTAACACATTTGAGCAGTATTTTACCCACAAGCGGAAAGTTCACAGACACATATTATTCGAAATCGTTGATGCCTAATAAGGCAAGTAAGTCAATGTTCTTTAATTTTCTTTTGAACGTATCGGTGTTTGTGCCAGTTGCAAGTCTGAAGGTAATAATTGAAGCCATCTCGCTCCGCGAAAGCATAGCGAGTTAAAAACCTGAACCTGATGATTTCTGTATAATCTAGGACATTGTAGTGATAATGAAGTGATGCGACCTCTGCTCGGCCTCATTATCCAGTACTTGCTTGGTCTCTTTATGGCACTGAACTTTTGCTCTGACGAGACAAAAAGGACCTTAGCTCTCTAATGACCGCATAAACAGTCCTCAGAGCTCTTTTTTCGAAAAATTATACACTCGCACTTTTTCAGATTTACGAGAATTGCTTCGAGTATTTAGGCTTTTAGCAATCACAACATCCTTCAAAAGCTTATTATGAAGGATCGACGGCCCTTTTGGTAACTGGAGAATTTCGGTTTTCTATGTTCACCGAATTTCTCTTGAACAAGCTCACTCTAAAAAATCGGCTCCTGTAAGACATTTGTAATCTTTTTTTTTCAATTTCTTTTATTTTGTATTATACTTAGGTACGAATTTCGATCGAGATTCGTGATCCTCACTTCAATCTTCCATCCAGTAACGAACAACCCTATTGCCGCGGT